GAAGCAGTGATGAGGGATGGGAGGGGGAGCTGTGAGTGAGTGCGGGGAGGGTGTGGGGAGGAGGGGAGGCACAGACCACACTGCGGCTGTCTGATCTCGCTCTGCGTGTGTGTGTGTTGTCAGAGAGTCTATTGGGTGTGCAAGAGTCTCCGGCTACTTCAATGGCTGAGCGTGCCAGGGAGGTTGTTTTGTCTCGCTGGGCGTGCGTTGGCTCCGTGTCCCTGCGTGTGTGTGTGTGACGGGAAGGTGTCTGTGCACCTGCGTGTGTCAACGTGTGTGCTTCTCATAGCATGGGGGAGGGGGGCTGTCATGGGTCATGCAAATTACATTTCTTTTTGCTAATGATTGACCAAGGTACGAGGAATCGGTGATGAATCTAGGTACGAGGGATCGGTGATGAATCTAGGTACGAGCGATCGGTGATGAATCTAGGTAGGAGGGATCGGTGATGAATCTAGGTACGAGCGATGGGTGATGAATCTAGGTACGAGCGATCGGTGATGAATCTAGGTACGAGGGATGGTGATGAATCTAGGTACGAGGGATCGGTGATGAATCTAGGTACGAGGGATCGGTGATGAATCTAGGTACGAGGGATCGGTGATGAATCTAGGTACGAGCGATCGGTGATGAATCTAGGTAGGAGGGATCGGTGATGAATCTAGGTACGAGCGATCGGTGATGAATCTAGGTATGAGCGATCGGTGATGAATCTAGGTACGAGCGATTGGTGATGAATCTAGGTATGAGCGATCGGTGATGAATCTAGGTACGAGCGATCGGTGATGAATCTAGGTGCGAGCGATCGGTGATGAATCTTGGTACGAGGAATCGGTGATGAATCTAGGTACGAGCGATCGGTGATTAATCTAGGTGCGAGCGATCGGTGATGAATCTAGGTACGAGCGATCGGTGATTAATCTAGGTGCGAGCGCTCGGTGATGAATCTTGGTACGAGGAATCGGTGATGAATCTAGGTACGAGCGATCGGTGATTAATCTAGGTGCGAGCGATCGGTGATGAATCTAGGTGCGAGCGATCGGTGATGAATCTAGGTACGAGCGATCGGTGATGAATCTAGGTACGAGCGATCGGTGATGAATCTAGGTACGAGGGATGGGTGATTAATCTAGGTATGAGCGATCGGTGATGAATCTAGGTACGAGGGATAGGTGATGAATCTAGGTACGAGCGATCGG